AAAAAAACCTCAAAAGCTTAATTAAATTTCATAGTACCAATAAAATTAACAACTACAGTGGGGATGGGGGGAGGGGGGAGAAAAGATCCAAAAGAAACCACAGAACAAGTCAAAACATAAGAATAATAAATGTTTTTCTTGAGTCACTGCTATCAGGATCCTTTCCTTCACTTCGAGTCACAGTCCACCTCACCTCCCTAGGATGCCCCCCAACACTGTGCTGGTCTCTGGACCCGCTGTGGGAGCAGTTCAGATTCTAATTGGTCCTACTCCTGTGTGTTCTTGCCTCCAATGTCCACAGCTATCAGAGCTAGTGCGTTTTCTTTTGTGGGAGCTCTCAGTGTCCTTTTATATATTCCATAGACACAGAGTCTGCGTAGTTTATTGTGTGGACTTAATCTGCAGCTTATATAGCTGGTGAGAAGGTTTAGAGTCTTTTCCTTAGCCACACTGCTCCTGGGTTTCAATTGTGGCTTTATTTTCACCTCCGCATATGGGTCATCCACTGGGATTTGCTCCTGAGAGTGCCCTGGAGGACTTGGGTCTGTTCCAGTGAGGGCCAGGTGTGGAGGTGGTGCAGCTGCTTGGGTCACAGGGGTTCTGGCAGCACCAGGTACTCAGGAGAGTTAGCGGCTAGGGCAGCAGGAAATACAGTGTTCTAGAAGAGTATGGCAACCAGTATTGTCCAATACACTCCAGTACTCTTGCCTGGAGAGCCACCTGATAGAAAAGCCTGGCAAGCCACAATCCACAGGGTCACAGAGAGTTGGACATGACCAAAGGTACCCCATGTGCATAGACACAAGACTTTTTTAGCCTGTGACAGCTCTGCCCCAGTGAGGGGTGAGCATGAAGGTGGCAGAGCTGCTTGGGTTGTGGGGACCATGGTGGTGCCAAGTGTGCAGGGATACGGACTGCCTCAGCCACTGGAGTATTGGCCCTATCAGAGTCTTTTTTCGAGCCTCTGGTACCTGACGATCAGAAGGCCTCTTCAGCTAGTCTTTGTCCATAGCTCAGTCCGTTCAGGCACTTAGAGGACTCCCTTGCCTGGGGTCCTTCTCTGTTGTTCCATGCATCAGGCACATAGGAGGCCCCTCTCCCAGTGCCCTGCCTTCCCGCCCTGGGCTGGGGACCTACTCTGTAGATCAGCAAATCAGGCACTTAAAGGTGGGTGGGGTCCTCCTCTGTAGTTCCCTGCCTCAGATGCTTAATGGGTCAGCCTCTCTATTGTTCAGCTGCCTATGCTAGTGTGTGGGGAGAGAGAGGCTATGGTGATGGCTCCATCCCCTATGCATGAATCAGCAGTATCGCCTTGCTTCCATGTCTGCCTGGCATTCCTCCAAAGACATTTCCCACCACAGTCTCCTCCCTCACATCCCCTCATCCATCTCTCCACAGGAGCCCTTGCCTGGGATTGCTCCACAATCCGTAAGCTCCAGCTCCCAGCCACTGCGCCTTCTAGGGGACTTGCATCCCTGTCCAGGATATGTATGGCTGCGGCAAGAACTGTCTGATTCTCATTCTATTCAGGCTACCACAGATCAACTGCTTCACACTCATTCTTAAATGTTTCTCTTCTGACTCAGACAATTGCCCCGCTGTGGGGATTGAACCCCTGTTTCACTTCTCCCATGCGCTGAGGGCAGGTCCAGTCCTACTAACACTCCAGTTTTTCCCCCTCGTTCCTTTGTTCTATGGAGTTCTGTGTGGTTCCATATATGCTTTTCCGCTGGTCAGGTCCTCCTGTCCGCTCTCAGATGGTGTTCTGTATGCACTTCTGTGTCTGAAGGTGTATTCCTGATGTATCTGAGGAGAGAGATGCACTCCACATCCACCTACTCATGTGCCATCTTGTTCCTCTACAGAGTGACTTTTTAAAAAACATCACCTCATGTAACTACTATGCTCAAAACCCAAAATGTAATTCTCCATTTCTCTCAGAGTAAAGTCCCTTCAAAAATCTACATGACACAGACCCCCACTCTGTCCCCACAGTGGGGACACATGGCCCCACTGGCTCTCTGGCCTTCTCTTCAGCTCCTCTCTCCCCAACTCACTAAACTCCACCCACATCAGCTGACTTGCTGGCCCTTAAATGTTACATGAATGCTCATACTTCCTTGACTAGCATTTTCTGTTCCAGAGAAATGCAGGGAGCACTATCTCTATGCTTCAAGGCTCTTTCTTGTACAAATGAGAAGTTGTGTGGGATGAAGTATAGCTGGCTCCTCTGCCTAACAGATATACAGAAATGAGAGAGGTTGTGTAGAAATATCTCTTACAGGCACTTAGCGTTTTCTAACGGCTAAATATTCCTGACTTGTTCACAGTCTCAGCCTCCACTAGACTATCAACTCAATAATTTGTCATTTTAATTAATATCTACTGATAAAACAATTTCTAGGCAGACAATTAAGAAATTAAGTGAATATGATTTGCTGCCTTACAGTAAGCAAAATATAATGCTGGATTAGTAAGTCATATTTTTAACTTACCAAAATAATTATACTAAGTTAAAAAATAAGTATACAACCTGTAGATTGAAGATTCCTTCTCTTCATAAATAAAACCTCACATTTGTATAGGAAAATGCACCAAAGTATTATTAAAATGGCTAATCACAGCTTATTTTTATTTTTGATCCTTTGCCTTCTATTTCCTAATTTCCTGTAATTTGTATGTATTACCTTAATTATCAGAAAGAAAGAAGAATTCTTACTTTGAAGTCTTTATTGTTTCATAAAGTGTTAAATGTTTTAAAAGGAAAAGCAAGCTTTCAAAACTTCAGACACCTCATTTAAGCACCTCCACCAAGAACAAAAATCTTCTTCACCACCCTAGAAGCAAGACATTCTCAAAGAACCACGGTGAGAGCTGAGAGTCAATATTCTTCAGAGAATGGATAATCAGGGTGACCAAAACCACTGAAAGAGAAGGAGAAGGATTCACTTATTAAATCAGTCATGTTGTCATAGAGAACATTATTCTGTGAATGTGGTCAGGATGGGATAAAACTCTAAATCTACAAGAAGGTCCCTCCTTCTCCCCCAACAAGCACAAATGCAGATGCCTGCTCCATGTGCACACAGCACCTGCATGTCCAGGTTCAACATTCATATGTAATATTCACTCCACAATGACAGGTAATTTGACTCAGGTTACAATTTATATGAGAACACAAGACATAGGACTAACTGTGGGGATCATTTCAGACACAGGTGGAACTTCTGTCCCTAGATGATGAGAAGTCACAGTGAACAAATTAGCTGCTCTTTTTCACACATTCATGGATAAGCAGATACTGAGAACCCCCCAAAATACAGGGTGTCTCCATTAAGGAATTTTTCATCTGTTGAAGAGGTACCACGTACACCTCAATAATCACACAGTACAAAGTGAGATCATTATTTTCTTACTTTATAATATATTAAAACACTGGTTATTCAGCAGTTAGTATTACTGCTGTTTTCCTTTTTTCCATATTTGTGCTTTTCATTCTAATGTGTCCTTTTAAATTCAATTCATTATAAAGTGCATTTTTAGCAATTCCATGTTCCAGGAGCTGTGCTATTCAGTTGAGCCCACAAAGAGAGGCACTCACGGCCTAATGACGGAGAACATAGAATTTAAAAGCCTTTGAGAACTTAAAAGCCTTTGAGAACTTAAAAGCCTTTGAGTAGAGAAGAGGAGTTTTCCATGTTTTTTCCATGTATCTTATCTTTTCTTAGAATCATGATATAGCTTTGCAACAACAGGGGCAGTTTTGAGATCTTTCACTGAAATTAAATCTTCATTTTGCCAATAATTTGTATTCTCATTTCTCAAAACTCCCTTTCAAATTTCTATTCTGTCTCTTTGATCCTGATCGCCTTCTTCAGTAGTTAGGCAGCTGGAGTTGGATGTTAGTGACTAAGTCAAAGTCGAGGTGATAGGGGCTTCCAAAGGGATGTACCCCTGATGGACAGAAGCTACAGTGGGGTAAGTGTTGACTCAAAAAATCCAACACCCTGCCAATCTTACCTGGGTATGTCCTGCTAAGGATGCAGAAGTCATTCACTGGAGGGTCAGTTAATGACCTACTTGTAATTCAGTCTTGTGAAATTATAAGGATGAGGAAATGGGAGTTGGAATAGGGGAAAAGGCCAATGAAGAGATCAATTTGAAATAAATGGATAATGTCTTGGAGAAGAAATGCCCATTAGGGAGAAAACCCATCAGACCCTTAGGGGAGGGGGTGGAAGTAGGTCCCCTGTGACTTCGGACAACTGATGCACATTGGCCTGCCTGGATCCCCTCCAGAAGAACATTAACATGACATTTCACAATTGTACATGGGCAAACATCAACGCAGGCTTCCCAGGTTGTTCAGTGGTAAAGGATCCCACTGCCCAGGCAGGAGACATGGGTCCAACCCCTGGGTTGGGAAGATCCCTTGGAGAGGGAAATGCCTGGGAAATCCCATGGACAAAAGAACCTGGTAGGCCACAGCCCATGGGGTTGAAAAAGAGTCAGACAGGACTTTACAACTGAACAACAAAAAAACATGAATGTAATGCATGATGGATTCATTATTATACAGCAATTATTAATATAATCATTTTCCCTTGATACAAAAAGAATTAAAGATGAAACATGTTCACAGGTCCCTGAAAGAATAGTGGGCTACAGGCACTATACACTTTGTGTTTCCTGGGTCCCTCTGCCCTGAGAGGAGATACACTAGGTTTAGCGATTAGGGACACAGTGTAGTGAAATCACCATGATGTCAAATCTGGGGGTTCTACTGATGGGCTGTCCTGTGCCCAAGTCACATTTCTGTTGGTCAGAGATGGAGCTCTGGAGGAAACCTCTGGTCTGAGGTCTGTAGGAAGCCCCTGGTTTACTCCTACACTGAAAATCAGGACTTTTCCCAGAATTAAGTTTTTGAAAAGCTTAGTTCTCCTGCTGACCTGCATGCTACAGAAAACAATGTATGTGTGAAATATCTGCAAGTCACTTACAATAGTATCTCGTTATATCTTATATTTCTGTTGATGCCATCAATTGCTTTCATGTCTTCTGGACTCAGTTCAAAGTCAAACACCTGGAAGGAAGGAACAATCACATTAACCTCTCCCCCAAGGAGACAGCCTCCCCAATGGAGACTGGAGGACTTTCCAGCTGGATAAAGACACGAGGAGGGGACAGGGAAGCCATGTCTGTCCTCAGCTTCCAGGTGAACAACCTGGGACCCTCTGCTGAGTTCTCACCTCTCCTTCCCACACCCTCTCCTTCTCTGTCCACCTCACAAACATCACAGCGCATCAGTCCCTTATCTTTCTTAGTGAATCACTTGTGACAGAAAACAAACTAAAATCTTCTTTTTCCAAACACATTGCCTTTGGACACTCCTGACTCAAAACCTCAACCTGAGCTAACATTAAACTGATTAACTCTCCCCAACATGCTCTAAGGGTGACAACATTCAGCTGAAGCATTGTGGGAAGGAGGCTCCCTGTGAAAGCCTATTCAAGACTCTGACATCAAACTATTCATTATCTATGACTGAATCTAACAAAAACTTTATGTAAATGCATTTGTGGAGAAAGTTATGAAAAATGTTTAACATTAAAGAACACCTAGATAATTAAAAATTCATATCATATTCATGAAATGGAAAGCTCAGTTTTGTAAAGAAATTCATTTTCTCCAAATGATCTAGGGTTTCAATGCAACATGATCCAAAGACTTGAGCATGTATTATTCCCCAGAAGTTGGTAAAGTGATCCTAAATTTTCAATAAAAGAGAGCTAAACAAAAGCAGTCAGGACATTCTTAAAAAATAAAAAATTATCATTCTGAAAAGCATACTTATTTTCCACTTTAATAACATGTTGCAGGAAACAGAATAGTTAAATAGAAGAGAGACACTAGAAATGTACTTCTGGACACTTGATATATGACAGAGTTGACAATGAAAATCTGTGAGGAAATATGGAACTTTAGGCTTAAATTTAAATATACCTAAAGGTGTATGTATCTATTTTCATAGTATCTTAGATAATCAGTTCCAGCTAGATTACAGAACCAAATTTAAATGGAAACACGGAAACAATTGATCAGGGGACAATTTCCATTCCCCTTGACTTGGCCTGACCTGTAACCTATGGCATTGAACAGTGATATTTCCCAGAAGTGCTGAGCCAGATCTGAGCCCAGACAGGAAGAGGATTTTTTCCCTAATCACTGACTTGGGATCACAGCACTGTGCTGAGACAAAGACCAAGTCAGTTGACCACAGTCTAGCCAAACATACATGAAAAACTATGCAGAGTAGCATGCAGGCGCCTCTAACAAGAGCCACATCCACCTGCTAAAGCAGAACTGCCAAGCTGCTCTGTACTGAACTGCAAATGCATGAGAGAGCCCAGCCAAGACGACAACAGCTTAGTTGAGTGTGGGCTGATTGTCAAACCACAGAATCAAGAGAATCATAACTGATCTCTACATTAAATCCTGAAACTGAAGAGTTTTCTGTGCAGCTACACGAAGGGGACAATATTCGTCTCCTACACAGAAGTCGAAATAGAAACAACCTAGCTAAAGTGGACAAAGTCTTGAAGAGGAGCTGCTCAAAGGCAGAAACTCATGGAAATTAAATGTATGAAGATGAAACCTTGTTAGTATTCAGGGAAATACTCTGTTCTCTCCTCCACCATGCTAAGGTACAAGGAGAAGCTTGTGACCTGAAGGAGGGCCCTCACCCAACCACACAAGTCCCCTGACCTCAAGACTCCAGCTTCATAAATGTGAGAAAGAAATTTCAATTTTTTCTCAGCCACTCAATCTGTCGTATTTTGTTGGAGCAGTCCAAACAGCCTAAAAATTCACAATTTCATCAATTGAGAACAAAGAAAATAAGATGTCATTTGCACAAGGTGACAAATAAATTGCAGAAGTAACACTAGAAATAAATCTCTGTTATCTGTCCAACCTTGACTCAGATGGTAAAGAATCTGCCTGCAATGCAGGAGACTCCAGTTCGATGCCTGGGTTGGGAAGATCCCCTGGAGGAGGGCATGGCAACCCACTCCTGTATTCTTGCCCAAAGAATCCCCACAGACAGATCAGCCTGGCAGGCTACAGTCCACGTGGTCACAAAGAGTCAGACAAGACTAAGCAACTGAGCCCACACATCTGTCCAACGTTAACCCTCTCCAGCCATGCCACCTTTCCTGTTGTCACGTCAGGAGAAGAAAACTACCAGGAATACACACAAAGCGTTCATGCACAGGGAAGAACAGTCTTGAGAGATGGACAAAGAATGACCCTCATGAAGGACAGTCCTTAGGATCCCTCTGACCACAGCCCCACTCATCATCACCTGTATGTTCTCTTTGATCCGCTTCTTGTTGAAACTCTTGATCAGAGTCACAACCCCACGTTGTATCTGGTAGCGAAGGGCAACCAGAGCTGGGGTCTGCTTGTTCTTTTTGGCAATGGCACAAAGAACCGGGTCCTCCAAGAGAACGGGGTGGTTCTGGTTTATCCTGGAAGGAAATTCAGAAATGCTGAGGAGCTGAGACTAAATTCTCAGTTTCTAAAGAGGCTTCTCAAACAGACCAAGTAAGTCCACTCTAGACCAGTGCTTGTCAAAGTGTGGTCCAGGGACCAGTATCATCAGTATCACCTGGGATCTTGTTAGAAATACAAATTCCATGACTTAGTTGAAGACAAACTGAATCAGAACCTCAACTGGGTCACATCCCATTCTGTGTTTACAAAGTTCAGCGTGTAATTCAGATTCATGATTGAGTTGAAACCAGGACTGCAAACTCATGGAATTTTTCCTTTACTTCTCAGAGATTGTTTTTCTTTGATAATCAAGACCATGAGTAGAGAAAGAGAAGAAAAATACCAGAAAACTTTGTAATGTTACTTTTCTAAGCTTTGATAAAACCTGAGTAGTCCCAGAATGACAGTCATTTATTTCATCATTATTGTCCTACAGATGTTTACATAATTGGTTCAAATTGAAATTTTTTCTAGCATGACAGACCTAGGAGTTACATATTATTGTCCCAATTTTAGACATAAGGTAAGTGAGGTTTGGATCATCTATTTTTAGAAATGCATTCATTAGTTAATAAGCAAAATCATGACATAAGCTTGGGTTTCTGGTCTCAATTGGGAGACTATATACAGATTTTAATGTAATTGATGAATCTACAAGCAGGAGACCTGGGTTGATCCCTGAGTCAGAAAGATCCCCTGGGGAAAGGAATGGCTACCTACTTCAATATTCTTGCCTGGAAAATCCCATGGACAGAGGAGTTTGGTGGGCTGCAGACTATGAGGTCACAAAGAGTCAGACATGACAAGAAACACCTTTTTCACACAAGCTAATACAGTGTAGAGAAACTGTCTGGGTGATGAGAAGATAACAGAGAAGAAATCAGTCCATCCTTCCCCTTTCTTCCCCTGCCTATGAGAGTTATCTCCTGACCACTGAGTACTGTATAATTTAAACCATTTCATCAAAAACTGAATTTTAGGTAAACACCATGTTGTCTTTCTTAGGGTTCATTACCATCCTTTTACTCTTTGGGATCCCAGAGCACTATAGGCAACAAGAACAATATCATGTGACTTGCAGAAATCCAACAGTTTATTCTGGTTGAGATAAGGGTGACATTCCACCTGTAGAATGCCAACAGAGAAGAGTGTCAGATTATATGAAAAAGTAATATTAATACAACAGAGAAAATTAAAAGTTTAAAAAATGCTAAAGGAAAAACTATAACTTAAATTAAACTTGAAATATCGACATCAAGATAAAAATAGAGAAAAGTGTGCTTAAAAGTTAATTTTATAATAGACATGGATGACAGAACCATTCCAAGCTTGAGTAATCACAAGGTGAGCTCTACATATGAGTAAATGTTTCTGAGTAAATATTTTATTGACTGTTAATATCACCATGAGCCTTTAACTTCAGCCTTTCAACTGGATGACTTTCACAGTTTTCAGCACATTTTCAGTGCTGAAGACCCAGAAAAGCTGAAACACTAAGACTAAAGATTCAGCCATCCAAACCCCACACAGATTTTAAACCAATATTATCTGATTTATCTTTCTTTACACCCCATGTCATGTTTTCATGGTCCTTCTTCCTGTCCACAGTTCCCTCCCAGGCACTTTCAACATCCATTTCTGGACACCCTTTAGGCTCAGGTAAACACCACCTTCCTCTAAGTTCTGGGTGACTAGTCAAAACCTTCTTCACCTCCTTTACCTTTCCTCAGTCTCCACCACAATTTAGCAGGACCCCCTCCCCAGCTTTTCCACCCAGACTTTATCAAACAGAGATACCACTGTGGGTTTTATTCACAGAAGCTCTGCTTTCTAGAATATTCTGTCCACAAAGAATGATGAACAGGATGAACAGGAGGGGAGCACAGACAGACATCAGGCTCCAGTGCAAGAAGGAGGTTGTGAAGAGCAGGAGGGAAAGGAGCCAAGCTGCTCACCTGGTTGCAGACGGGCTTGTACTTGAGCCCCTGCTTGTTCAGGATCTTCTCCAGCTGCTTGTGGTTGAAGTTGGACACCCCAATGGACTTGGTCAGCCCTGCGTCCTTACACTTCTCCAGGGCCTGGGGAAGAAGGGGTGGTGAGCAGTCATTTAGAATGGGCAAGAGCAAAAATAAATGCTGAAAAATTATCTGTCAACAGGGTCACCCATCAAGAATTAGCATTGATTATCAAGAGGAAAAAAAGAAGTGTGACACAAAAACAACAAATACCATTTCCTCCTTAGAAAAATCCCTGAGAAGACATATCATATGGAAAGAAAGAGATGCCTGTCTTCACTGTCCCATATTCTCCTCTTTCGTTCCTCTCTGTGAGCATTCCAGCAATGGTTTCCTCCCCAAAACACCAGAATCACAACCCTAAGATTCATGAACTGCTGAGTCTGATGATCCACAGCCCATTCTCACAGGTGGAAGAAATGAAAGAGGTTCCCCCTCTCCTGGCTCCTCCCCTGAGTTTCTTCTCCCCAGACTCACCTCCCATGTGCGACAGAGATCCACTGAGTCTAATATCATTTTTCCATTTTCATCTTTTGGAAGTAATTCCTCCCCTGGCTGGAATAGAAGTAGTCATCTTAGAGATGTCACAAAGTAATATCTCTACATTTAGCCTGGCTGCTTGGCACCAGGTAGTAAACCTTCATGAGGTAGGTGTTATAATATTCTGGATACTAGTATTTGCAAAGTGATTTGCATATACGGAGTTGTAAGCAATGTCTTTAGGAGGGAGGCTTATTCTAATCTCTTACACTTAATATATATATATATATTACACTTAATATATATATATTATATATATATTACACTTAATATATATATATTATATATATTACACTTAATATATATATATTATATATATTACACTTTATATATATATTATATATATATTACACTTAATATATATATTATATATATATTACACTTTATATATATATATATTATATATATATATATAATATATATATGTTGTAATAAGTATGTTTTTCTAGGTCCTCAAAGGAAATTCCCATGACTTTTGTGGATTTTGTCTGTTCCTTCTACTTGTCTCTTTTGAAATGCTTCTCTTGAGCTGGAAAAGGCAGTAAGTTACATGACATAATTTCCAGAATAAAAATTTCAATCTTGATATGACTAAATAATCAAACTTCCTTTTCCATCTGAGCATCAGATGCCCTAGGGCAGGCATGTGAACCAGCAAGGTTCTCTTTAGGTTGATATGGAATGTGGAAGATCCAGACATGCTCTCAAACGTTCATGACCATGAGCCTGGAGCTACCCCAAGACCATATTTGCCACCAATAGAAAATGTCACCAATGTTCAGTAAAAATAAAGCAAATCATGAGTAATGCCATGATGTGTCTGTGTGCTAAGTTGCTTCAGTCATTTCTGACTCTTTGTGTCCCCATGGACTGTAACCCACCAGGCTCCTCTGTCCACGGGATTCTCCAGGCAAGAATACTGGAGTGGGTTGCCATTCTCTCCTCCTGGAGATCTTCCCAACCCAGAGATCGAACCCACATCTCCTGCAGCTCCTGCATTGCAGGCAGATTCTTTATTGATGAGCCACAAGAGAAGCCTCCAATACCATGATAAGAGATAGAAAAAAATAGAAATTTCTGAAGAGTACAGCAGATCCTTAAATCTATCCATGACTTGGACTTCCCATCTACATAGTCCTCTAAGCTATTTTGCATAGGATGGCTTGAGTAGAATTCTTAACTTAAAATCAAGGGTTCTATATAACTGTTGTTGTAGTTTCATTGTGGGTTTTTTGTTTTGTTTTGTTTTGTTTTGTTTGTCTCAGGTTTGTGGGATCTTAGTTCCCCAAACATGGATTGCACTCCTTCCCTCAATCCAACTTGCCTCAGCAGTGAAAGCATGGAGTCGTAACTACTGGACTGCCAGGAAATTCTCATCTGCATAATAATACAGTTCTTAAAGTCTAAGTGCAGTCTACAAACTTCATCATGAAGACAAGCAACAGTGTAGGCAAGGTTTCTCAAGTCCCTATGATGTCTGCTAGTTTTAGACCCATCCAGATGGAGCACCACCAAATTTGCTCAACTAGAAAGGGTGAAAGAGGAGAAGAACTCATCACATTCAATGTAAGATTGTGTCATTGCTCATCATGGCTGCACCAAACTCCTGTTACATGAAATCCCTGGAGATTCAGGAGTCATATTCAGGACTGTGTGCAGAACTCAGCAATTTCTATTTCCTCAAGTTTTTAAGGCAGACACTGAGAGATTCTTTAACTCCTTTCTCCAGGAGGTGTGTAAGGGATTCAAAGAAATTCAGTAAAAAGATGATCATGAATGATTATTAGGGAGATTCTACTCTAGTGAAACCCTCGCTACAACCTACTAAGACAAATCTTAATTCAACCATGCATGCAAGTTGATACACATTCTAAAAAAAGAAGTAAAATAGAAGCGATCACACAAATTTGCAACCTTCATGGCCACTGGGAAATGAATGAGATAGAGATCAACATAGTCCAGTTGAAGATCTTTCAGTGACTTTTCCAAGGCTGGTCGGACCAAATCTGGTTGAAGGAAAGTGCACCAAAGCTGTAGAGATTAAAGAATAGAAGCTGTGTTAATAATACTTCAGGGAATTTTTTTGGGAGGAGGGGGGCTTACCACATGGCTTTTGGGATATTACTTCACTGACCAAGGATTGAACCTGGGGCTCATGGCAATAAAGCACTGAGTCTTAACCACTGGACCACCAGGAAATTCCAATACTTTAGGAATGTAATAATGAACATGGGTCACCAAACAACGATCCTATTTTACAATAGTCACCTGGGCACAATCAGTTCCCCACATGTGCACACACACAACACACACACAGCACCTTTGAAGTATAGAAAATCTCTTCTCTCTTCACAGTGCCATCTGCAATCTTGCTTTGAATGGCTTGGCCAACCTGCTGTTCATTTTGGTATACACGAGCACAGTCAATATGGCGGAACCCAACCTCTATAGCAAATTTGGTTGCCTCCAGAGCTTCGCTCTTAGGTACCTACATGAGCAACAAAGGTAGTACTTACATATTCACATGGTTAAAAGATTGCTAAAGCACAAGCTTTAATCTTCCCAAGATTCAACTTTTCTTTGGGTAGTTCTGTATGCATGGTGATGAACCCATGACAGTTTGCTGAACATTCCTGGTCAGTAATTAAATGGACACCCAGGAACTCATCAACCCCAGGCAATTAGTGGTTGATCACAGGTATTAGAGGACCCAAAGGCCACCTCCAGGTTCAGTGATTTGCTGTTAGAACCCAATGTACTAAACATAAAGTTGTAGTCATGGATAGGATTTACCCTGTGAGATGTTTGAAGCAAAACTGGCAAAGGTATGAGATGTATGGTAAAAGCATCAAGAAACAAGCTGGAAGCTTCTATGACTTCTGGCTACCACTGAAGCCACACAGAATACACCAAAAAAAATGTAACTATTCAAGGTGTACAAAGTGATATTTTCATATAAGTGCATGTGTGCTTAGTTGCTTCAGTTGTGTCCAACTCTTTGCCACCTTATGGCAACCGTAGTCCACCAGGCTCCTCTGTTCAAGGGATTCTCCATGCAAAAATCCTGAAGTGGATGGCCATGTCCTCCTCCAGGGGATCTTCCCAACCCAGGGATTGAACCCTTAAACTCTTATGTCTCCCGCATTGGCAGGTGGGTTCTTTACAACCAGCACCAGGTGGCACTGATGGTAAAGTAACATAAGTACTGCTTACAATTACTCACTGTTATTGATTATCACAATCAAGCTACCAGGAGATCCATCACCTCACATAGTTAACTTTTGAGGGTGTTTGTGAGAACACTGAAGATCTGCTCTTTAGCAAATCTCAAGATAGAATCCATTATTATTAACTGGAGTCACCGTGCTGAACATCAGGGGTCAAGACTTATTCATCTCAAACTGAAGGTCTGTCCCTTTGACCAACATCTTTCCCTTTTTCCCAGGCTTGTCCTCAACTTCTGGTCACCATTCCTTTACTCTCTTCTTCTGTGAGTTCCACTTTTTTAGATTTCACCCGTAAAGAGATCATGAAGTGTTTGCCTTTCTATTTCTGGCTTCTCTCATTTAACTTAGTGTTCTCCAGGTTGATCTGTGTGGTTGCAAATGACAGGATTAACTCTGGTTTTAATGCTACATAATACTCCATTTCTTTTTAATGTGATTCAGAATCTTTCCTGTTTCAAGGAACTAGATGATTGGTCTAACTTCCCTCTGTTGGGTCTAGTCCTGGTTTTTCTTAAATACTCAGGTATTTGGGACTGTACCGAGGAATGAACAAATGAGCTTCAGTATAGCCTGGTCCCTTCCCTCCCCTCATCCCACTTTGCACTACAAGGAAACAAGCCCTGTCTTCTGTCTTGAAAGGATCTCTGAATATTGCCTTCTGTTTTATAGATGAAGAAGTGAGACACAAAGTTTAAGGACCAGTCAGACCCTTGTCACAGCTACATACTCTAAAGACCAGATGGACAGCAAACTTTCTGGTTTCCAGTCTAGAGACTTGTCCACTAGCCCCTCATGTCCAAGCACTGAGAACTATACTTTAATAATAAGACAATGCAAAACCCAAGAATACATTACAAAGCCTGGCCTGTAAGACTGTAGCTTATCCCCTCAAATAACACTAGAATTCCCATCAGAAGAAGTAGTCAACAGAAACAGAAGTACAGGGTAAAACACAGCTGGAGTGTGTCTGACATGGGACCAAGCAGACACCCCACAGTAGAAAAGCAATTCTCTCCCATTAGTTTTCAGCCATTTCATCTTCAGGACCTTTTACCTCAAACATTTCTCTGGGTCATGTCTTTTTGGAAGGAGGAAGGAGTTCTGGAACTAACAAAATATACAGAGAAACCCAACCATTGCAATCCCCCTCAGAGCAAAGCAGCTTACAGTCAGTGTTCTCGACACCCAGGTCTTGCCTCTTCTACCGAGCTGGGGAAGAGATGGAAACTGGAGGGGAACCCAGAGTAATCTGCAGGTGAGCACAGCCTCAGACCCTGATGCAGAGTGGAGACTGGATGCTCTCTTCCCTTTCACAGGGCATGGTTCTAGCCTGGTTAGTGAAACCACGGGACCCTCCCAGAATCACCCAGGAACTCAATGCTTGACAACCCAAGTCCCCTTCCTCTCATGTCACATCCACTACTATTTATATCTCAACCCCAAACCACTCCTCTTACCTCCTCAGGTGCATAGGTTCCAAATCCCAGGACAGGAATGAAGTGGCCATCATTAAGCTTCACCTTCTGGCTTTTGAGATCCATTGTCTGTTGCTCCTCTGACTAAGCAGAGTGATTTGATTTTTTTCTTCAACCTTCACAAATTATAAATAACAGAAAGGTAACACACCAACTGCACCGTCCAATGTTAGCACATATATTATAGAAGGAGTAGGATTAAACCCCATACACATGGAGTAAGAAGAGGATTGAAGTGAGTTAAGCAACCTGTTTCCTTTTTTAATCCGTATAACCTTAAGTATTACGTAATGATGAGACTGGCTGAACAATTATTGACCACATGGCAAACTTCCACACAGCAACTGTTTTTCATTTTTCTATTATGAAGCCCAATCTCAATCAAACATCAATTGAAACAACTATCTTTCAGAACAAACATACACACATACACAAATCACACAAAGTGTTTAATAAGCATTTTTTTAAATGTTACCTCTTAATAAAGAATCAAAACTTCAAATTAAACTAAATTTGCCTTTTTACATTTCCCACCAGCAAAGTTATTTGCTTTACAGATCTGACAGTGGTGAAATCCAGAACAGGATATGGAAACCAGACATTTTGGCAAAATACTTATTGGAAGTTAATTATTAATAGCTTTAGGATACCATGTGCAGTGTACAAACACTCTTGAGTGTTTATACCTTGTACCTACATATATAACTTCTAGAGTACTCTCATAATGTAACTGATAACATATTTTACATAATTTACTATCTTGTACATTATTCATAAAAGAAAAACCTATAAAAAATTGACAAATTTGGGACAGAAAAGGAAACTGTGATGCACTAATACTTGGGGATGTTGTGAAGACAAATAAAATTTAATATGTACAGTGATACCAGCAAAATGGTGAGCTAGGAGGACTGATTCCTCCCTTGGAAAGGCAAGAAAAGAAAGAGAAGACAGCTGAAAAACCTCATAGGAGTTCTGGGAAACAGTCACAGATATACAGCAACAAAGTAAACACACAACTAGGAAAAATCCAGACTAAAATGGTAGGAAATTTCACCATGTATTTACTCACAAGTACTCTCCTCCTGCCTGGGTCAGTGCAGTCTTGATCAGCTCCCAGTTGCCTCCCTCAAACCAGAGTGATCACAGAAAACCTTATCAGCAATCTACTTCGGGGCTGCCTGGAGACTGGTGTCTGTTTTACTGAGCTTAAACTGAAGAGCAGCTGGAATGGGTATTACAGCTGCAGGGGGGCTATATACGGGCCAGGGACAAATGAATAAGGGTGGAGACATAGACTATATCATGTATTAATAAAATCCTGAGTAGAACTGGGGTGTGGATTTGGGGAGATAGTAAGGCATTCAAAAACAGTCATAAGTACACCAGATTCAAAAAGCCACCCAGATGCTGACTCAGAAATGAACTGAATTGCCCTAAACTTTCCTGTTGGGCTGATACAAGGACTAAGAGCATGCCAAGCAAACTGGTGAAAGCCAATCAGGACAAGGAATCAAATCTACCAAGAGTGAGTATTTGCCCATTGTTTCGAGTATCCAACTATGAACACACACACACACACACATACAGGAACACACACACACACACACAGAGACACACACAGGAAGACACACACACAGGAAGACACACACAAAGGAACACTCATACAGGAACACGCACACATCTGGATGGGGCAGGGCGGCCATCACAGAAGGGCCCGAGAAGCAGGGTCTGGGGCTCTGATGGTGTGCCAAGGTTTCACCACATGCACAGCCACCCGCACCAAGGGCTGCTCCAGCACACCTTCCTCCAGCTCTGCCACCCTCTGGGGCAAAGGAGCCAGTGCTGGGAGTGGGGGAGGAGGGGAGTGCACACTTACAAGGGGTGGAACCAAGTTAAGGCCAACCGTCAGGGCTTCTGTTCCAGCACCTTGGGACCCGCCCAGCCCAGTAGGGTGGGGACAGCCACAGAGCACTAGAGAAACCTGTGCTCACACTGGGCTCTGGCCCTAGCCTCCACTTCCACCTCTTACCAACTTAGAAGTTGCCAGCAGGCCCTGGGAAGGGGTGGCCTCTGACCAGCTCAGCTCCAGCTCTGCCCCAAAGCCTGTGGGCACACAGACTGCATAGAGACACATCTGCACAAGGACACCCCTACAAGACTAGAACAGGAAACTTTTTCAACTAATCTCATGGAAACAGAGGAAATTAAGCAAAATGAGAAGACAAAGGAATTTGTTTCAAGTGAAACAATAAGAAAAACACATGAAAAAATCTGATAATGATACAGAGATTAGTAATTTACCAAAATAATCATTTACCAAAATTCAGAACAGTAAGAAGAATTCTTCCCTAACAAATAGGACACAGTAACAATCACATGATAGGGGTTTCAGGAGGAGAGAGAGAGGAAAAGGGACAGAAATGGATGTGATGAAATTATGGCTAAAAGCTTTCTGAACCTGGAACTTCCCTGGTGGTCCAGTAGTGAGGACTCTGTGCTTCCACTGCATGGGGAGTGGTTTTGAGCCTGGTCAGGGAACTACTTAACAAACGTGATTAAAATCATGAGATGGCAGATGTTCCTTGAGTACCTGGATCATGCTGGTGTAATCACAAAGTCCTTATACATGGGACCTGGGAGGGTTGTAGTTGAAGAGGAGATGGAAGATAGGATTAGATAAGAGAATCAAAGATTCTCTATCTATGCGCTATCTCTGAGATGGCAGGAGAGTCTTCAAGATGGAAAATGAAGTGTTCTCTAGGAGCTGGAAGAGGCAACAAATGGATTTTCCCCTGAAACCTCCAGAAAAGAATACAGGCCTGCTGGCACTTTGAGTTTAGCCCATTGAACCAGCTTTTGAATTTCTGACCTCCATAAATGTAAACTAACACATTGGTGGTGTTTCAAGTCACAAAGGTTTCAGCCATTTGTTGGAGCAGCAACAGTAACTAATACAGATGTGGTTCAAGTCATCCCACCTCCATCTGCTTCATCATAGGTTTTCCTCTCTCTGGGGACTGTTGCTCTGATCTCAGAGGCAGGTGGTCAAGAGGAAACCTTGTCTCTTGATCCCATTTTCATCTTCAGCGACTGCCAAATTCCTTGGTCCTCATTACAGAAAAGTCTTTGAAAACTTGGCACCATTTCTTGAAACCACTCTACTCAGGGTTTGCCTTCACCACTCTATCAAAGCTGCACTTGACCTTGCCAAGGTTAACTGCCCAATTCAGTGGTCAGTTTCAGTCTTCTTTTACCTGTCCCCTTGGAAGCATTGAACTCTTCTTTCCTTCAAGCATCTACTTCACGTGCCTTCTAAGAACAACCCTCCTGCCTCGTTCACCTCTTCTTCTCTGCCTCATTTGCTGATTACTCCACTTAAAAAAAAAATGCCTTCTTAATGCTGGGTCTTCATGAAGCTTGACTTCTCTGTCTACATCACTCACTGTTTAGTATAATATCTCTGATTGTCTACTTTCATGACATTAGGTGGCAACTAAATTTGATAAGTCACAAATATAAATATTGTCTAAACTTTTCCTCTAATAGACTTCTATGTCCAACTGTATGCATGCATCTTCACTTGGGTACCTAAAGGCATCTCAAAGATACAGATCTATAATTGAACTCATAATCTTCCCACAAAAGTGTGCTCCCCACATTGTCTCCATCTGAGAAAATGGCATCTCCTTTTCCTGTTCCTTAACTACAAACACCTGGAGTCAGCTTTGATTCCCCTTTACCTCTCACTGTATGTCTAACATGCCAGACAGTCTAGTTAATGCTGCCCCTAAAATATATACCTATTCTAATACCTCTGACCACATTTACTGCTCCTTCTGTGGTCCAAGCCAATGTCATCTCTCACCTAGATTCCTGTAGAGTCCTAAAAGAGGGCTCTTTTTCCTCTTTTGCTTCTCAACAACCAGAGTGATTCTTTAAAAAAACATGTCAGTCAGTTCATGTAACTACTATGCTCAAAACCCAAAATATCGTTCTCCATTTCTCTCACAGTAAAGCCCTTTAAAAAGCCTACATGACACAGACTCCCTAGCCCCACTGGTTCTCTGGCCTTATCTTCAACTCCTGTCTCCCCACCTCACTAAAGTCCACCCTCATCAGCCGACTTGCTGTCACTTCAGTGTTACTTGAATACTCTTTCTTCCTGGACTTAGCGTTTTCTGTTCCAGAGCAATGAAGGGAGCCACTGTCTCTATGTTTCAAGGCTGTTTCTTGTACAAATGAAAAGTGTGGGATGAAGAGTATCTGATGGCTCTGCCTAACAAATGTACAGAAACAGGAGAGATTGTGTACAATTATCTCAACAGGCCCTTACCCATTTCTAACAGCTAAATTCTCCTGATGTCATTCACAGTTTCCTTCTCCACTAGACTAATGATTCAAGACATTTCTCATTTTACTTATTGATATTTACTGATAAAACAATGTCTTACTAAAGAATGTTCAATCAAGTTTTGATGACTGAACAGCAAAATACATAAGAACTCATCAAAATGCTGAATATAGTAGACAAATAAGAAATTACATAAATGAGTAAGATGTGCTGCTTTACAGGAAGCAAAATATAACACTGCATTTTTAAATCCTATTTTTAGCTTATCAAGATACTTATGTTAAGAATATGTAAACAACCTGTGGATTGGAGATTATCTCTATTTGTAAACAAACACACACACATACACATTCGCTTAAGAAAAGCATAAGGACACTGCACCAGAGTTTTGTTGTTGTTCAGCCACTCAGTCCTGTGACTCTTTGCAACCCCATGGACTGCAGCATGGCAGGCTTCCCTGTCCTTCACCATCTCCTGTAGTTTGCACTAAAGTTAAGTATTATTAAATGGATTAATCACAGCTTATCTTTATTTTCTATTCTTTCCCTTCTACTTTCCAAATTTTCTGTAATTTACCTGTTATATTTTAATCATCAGAAAAAATGAGTATCCTTACTTAGAAGTCTTATATTTCATAAAATGCTTTTTTTAAAAATAGGAAAGGCAAGCTTCCAAAAGTTCATTTAAGCACTTCATTTAAGCACCTCCTCTA